TATTCGACGTTATCTGCCGAATTTGACAGCGAAAACTAACGAAAGATCGATAGCAATGAAAATATAGAAGGTTGATCGTATGACATATACATGCCCGTGACTAGTTGTCGAGTGGGCACCGGATGTAAATAAGACGTTTGAAATAAAACAGCATATTGGGCAGCTCTTGGCTGAGTAAAAAGAAACTACTTATCATGGCTTTCATCGTATTAAAAAAGAAGATGGAGGAAATGAGTGTGAATATTTTTGTGAAAGAGTTAATACAGTACATCACTTGTTTTGATTCAAAACTCTGTAATAATAAAAAATGGAAGAGAAATGGAAAATGGAAAGAAGGGAAGAAAAGGAAAGAAAAGGAAAGAAAAAAGGAAAAAAAATAGAAAGAGAAAAACAAAAGTAAAAAATGCCAAAAAGGCTAAGGAAAAGAAAAAAAATAAGGAAATGAAAGGGAAGGGAAAGGGAATGAAAAAAAAAAGGAGAGGAAAGGACAGAATGATGAAGGGGAAGGAACGAGGTAACAAGATAAAGAGAAAGATAGAAGAAAAAGGAAAAAGAAAAACCAGCTAGCGTCTTTACGAATATCACCCAAGAAACACTCTTACAAATTTCAAAAATGTCCAAATTTCATTAAGAATTCATCTTCTCATCCTCGATTAAATTCTCTCTACATCACTCCTAAAGAATGCCAAGATTTCAAATTCCATTCTCCTACGTATCATGCCTTTAAATTCAAGTAACGTCGTCCACATATCCTGCTAACTTATACATAATTCCATACATAGGTTTATCTAGCCTGTTCTATGGTGAGTTATAGTAGAAGTTGCATGTAATAGTTCGTAGATAAAACCGCAAAGGAACAATATATATATTATGGCCGGTTCAGATGGTACGATTTTCGCCTACAACTACCTTATACAACACGCACGCGCCATCCTACAACTCGAGTCCTAGCGTGTAAATCAAGCCTACAACTCGCGTACGACAGATACGAGCGTGTTGTATACGATAGTTGTAGGCGAAAATCGTACCGTCTAAACCGGCCTTTACTTAGCTACATTAGTTTCATGTATGTGATGCAAAGATTGATTTCACAAATCAAACAAGCTGGTTATTTAATCACAAATTGTTCGCGTTAAAGATTTGCATGGTGTTTGAAAGTTTGAGAATAAGTCTTCTCCCTGCATTACTTAACTCATTTTTCTTGAGTTAATTAAATCTAATGGAATTGTGAAAAATAGATGAGGCATCGAAAACTGAATCCAAAATAAAGCTAACATCAAATTTGAAAATACATAAATTATGAAAATTCTTCACTAGGGTAATTGATTGTCTTGCTTTAAGGTAAAAAACAGAAAGGTTTCTGGCGTTGTTTTTATGGGCAATTTATAGGTATAGTCTCTTGACTTGGGCGTAATGTTTTTTTTCATTTTATACCACATGTCATTCTGTGAAGTGATTTCTTTGATTAATGGTAGCTCATGAGAAGACAGAAATATGAATACAACACAGACAAAGAATATTATTCTCAAGATAATGACACGTGGTCTGAAATGGGGAAAAAATTACATCTAAGGTGAAGAGGCCTATTCAAAAAGTACTATTTTACTAAAATCTAGCTAGTATTCGTCGATCAATGATTGATGATATTAAAATGGTGAAGCTATACACTTAAAATCAGTCGTGGTTTTAAGGGTAATATTATGGTGGTTGCGTAAAGAAATGTGGACTTGCTGGTGAAATTTCCGATTTTTTCAGTAGCGGGAAAGGATGACGTGAATGAGAGAATGAATGGGTTGGTAGGGTATACAGTCCTTTGACTAAACGTTGTCGTTTGATCGGCTTCATCCCTACGCGCCTAGACCGAAAAGGATCATGGGGATAATTAATTTATAGTTACTAGCTGCCGCATATGTTATCTAACACGTCTTGAGCAAGTTTTACTGGACTGGAAATACTAAATTTTTGGCTCTTATCCCCAAAGTAACCTATTTCGAAGCTACTACCTGTAGTTGGCGATAACTCGTCTGAACAGCGCTCAAGCAGATAGTCTTTTAGCGCCTGCACGTTGTCAATATTTGGGACATCCTTGATGGAATATGTGTGAAACGGCTCTTGTTTTCCTTGCGTAAAGGCGAAGACAAATGTGCATTTTGCTCTCCATTGTGCGATTGTCACCGACTGATAGAGAACAATTAATCATTCATGTTAATTTACCCGTTATCCTTTTCGGTCTAGGCGCGTAGGGATGATCCGATCAACGACAACGTTTAGTCAAAGGACTGTATGAAGTGGATGGATGGGTGGGATGGAAGAAGTGCATTGGATGTTTTAGTGAAGGGAAGAATGGGATTGAATAGATAGGATTAGATGACATGTATTTATGGATGGATGGATGGACGGACGGACGGACGGATGGACAGATGGATGGAAGGATAAAAGGACCAATGGATAGATTAATGGATTCTCATTGATCATATTTTAAAGCATTCCTCGTGCCATATATCTATTATTTCAATACAATACAATGTGCTTTACTTGTACCACAGATGACCATGAGGAGAAAATATAGATATAAGTATATTTACAGAAGAATGGCAGGGGTTACCTAGAATAACTATAAGAGCTAAACGAGCTAGGTAACACTAATATCTGAGATTACAAAGTATGGGTGGAAAAGAAGACTATAATATAAAGATTACAATATCGAAAAGTATCTAATACTGCCTACTGAATAGTGCATTCCAAGACCAAAGGCCCTTGTGGGTCTCGTTAATTTGAAATAAAAAGTAAATGTACAGCAATTAACTCTCTACATATAGTTGATATATTGTTTCAGATGGAATAAACAAAAAATAGAATAAATAATAATTATTAACCCTACTTTAGGCAATGTCACTATGACCCACGATGCATTTAGGTCTTGGAATTACTATTCAGTATGCAGTATTCAGTGTTCAACCTTTTTAAAATAGCTGTATCTATTATTGCTGTATACCTATTATTTTGCTTTACCGCGCGATTCTACTTGTGCCTAGTTAAGGACTTAGCAATCAAAATCCAATCACTCATTTCGAATAACATAATCATCCACAATTACACTAACGATGTCTTCCTAACGATAACCACTCTTCAGCGACCGTCGACATTCAACACAACTAATGAACTATTAAACCTTTCTTTTTTTAATCTATACATTGGAATTTTTAATCTTAATTGCCTGATTAGATATAAAGTTAAGATTATTGAAATCAAACACGCAAAAAAAAAAAAAAAAAAGGATCTAAATATTGCAGAAATATAAGTAAAAAAATAATACGATAAAACAAATCACTTTATTTAGGGGTCTAATCGTGTTAGCGCTTTCGCACTAATTGGGGACACTTTTGGCTCACACGCACTACCACTTCATTCAACATTCCATTCACAAGTTTAATAATTCCTCTTGTGTTATTCCTAATCCCGCTAGCTTAAGCAACAAAACGAACCATGTTGTACAGTTGCTATCTGCTATAACCAATGACACACTAACACGAATAAATTATTCATCACAGCGCACCTTCAGTTTTTTTTGTTTTTTTTTTAAGTTAACGAATGTTTTGTTTGCGAACGAGTCCTGTGCCCAGACATGGAGTCGTCTTTAGTTTAGCGGAAACGATAAAGGGCTTTCGTTAATGACCTTACAATCTCCTGTTATCGTTGCAATTAAAATGTGCTTTTGGTATTTTTGGTTAATAACCCATGAGTTTGCGTCAGTTATTTGACGATACGTGACAGGAGAACCGAACGAAATTAGATACTAATTACACGTTTGGTTCAGGCCTCAAAAAACGCATGCTGCATTAAAAGAATTTCCCATAAACTGGAAGTGATTTTCTCAAGACTTAAAAACGAAATGCGTGGTACGAGAAAAAGGACAAATAAATTTGAAACAAATAAAAAATTAAGCAAAAAGGCCGGACAAGATTAGATTCTTTTAGAACGTTTGCAATTGGTTTGGGACTTAAAAAACGCATATTGCTGGGTAACTTCCCGTGAACTGGGAGTGTGATTTCTAAGACTTTACGACTAAATGCGTGGTGTATGGAAAAGGGCAGTTTTGAGAGAATAAAATAAAAAGGTTAAAAATACGGAAATATAGATTCAAATAAATGAATAACAACACAGACAATGATTATCTTACTTTAAGTTAGTTTTAAATTTTGATCTTTCGACGCATTTTATTTGCCTGCAATTGCCTCTAAATCTATAGAATTCCAAAGAAGAGTCCAAAAAAATTTCAAAAAAATCAATTATATAAAATTCAAATTCAATTTAAAAAAATAAATGAAATAAATTAAGGAAAAAAATAAAACCAAAGAGAATGCACTCTTACAAACTTCAAAATCTTGCATTGGTTTTTATTTGCTACGGAGCTTCACCGAACAATGCGTCGAACAATGCGTAGAACAATGCGTCGTTTGATTTATGGGAGGGAATACAAAATCTCGTACTTGAATTTGTGCGTTTATAAGGTGAGAGGAACTTTGCATCTTGCTAAATGATCTCGCGGAGGAAAAGATACGAACCATCAAACGTGATACCAATTCGTTGTTGCATGATCTGTACATACAGTTACTGGATGTTAAAATGAAGTTCTATCCCCGATTTATTCATCATCTGCTTCATATGTTTTCCCTGGTGTGTGCTTACGAGTGTGAGTATGACGGCCTCATTCAGCAATATTGGCAGGGAATGTGGAGATATTTCGCTACTAGAAGAATCGAATTACAGTCGACAGAAGGAGAAACGTTAGTCATAAATTGAAGAACATTTCTTTTCTACCTCGAGGTTCATCGTACAATGAAGATATCGGATTTTCGTGGAAAATTAACCGACTCAGTTTTCAACCGCGCGCCCCTATTTCTTATTAACTCTCCATCTTTTCCTAAACCGAAATTGTCTGCAAAACTACTTTCGTGTAGTAATACTATAGATTAAAAGTAAGGAGATTGAGTACTTACCTGCTAGTTAAGTTTTGCTTAGCTCCACTGACCGAAGGAATTAGGAYAGAAGTTACTCGAAATGTATTTTATAGAAATCATTACGTATGACAGACAAGTCAAAATATCTCTAGATTGCTTGTCATTTTACCCCGCGAAGATAAGACCCGTCTTCTATAAACAACCTTAGAAACTAGGTATATCGCTTTATTAAACAAAATGCTTGGCGTAATGACCTAGGTTAATAGAAGCACAGTTTCTATTGGATATTCTTAGCCTTATGCGTCAAGATAATGTGGATTTGGCTATGATTTTAGGATATCTCTCTGACGACTCAAGGGCGGACACTTCTTCTATAAACAACTTTCGTAGATATGTCGATAGCTTGATTAAATAACTTAAACTCTATTCATTCTTTAGTTAAATTTGAGGAGGTTTTGGGCTTTATTTTCATCCATGTTTTTTGCGTTAATCCAATGCTTCGTGAACGACTTTCTATAGTGCCTATTATTTACTCGAGATTTAAAAGCATATTTCAAGGTTAATGGAAAAAGATCTTGGATTAAAGCTATCAGATTTGATTGATTGTAATGGGTTTCCATTTCAGTGTTACGCTTAGAAAGAAAATAGATTTAATTGAACTTAAAACACATCTTATAGCTAAAAACGTTTCCTTTTCTAAAAAAAAAACAACAACATAAAAAGCAAACACTAAATCCATGAGAGTACTTTTTCACGAGCACTATTTAAACAGTACTGCAAAATAAGGAAACGATGGAATTAGGGAATTTAAAGGAAGCGCGCATGTCTCTGCACTGTAATATAAACACGCTAGGAGCTTTAGAGAAAGAGAGAAGCAAGCTTAGGAACACAAGGCGTAGCCGAGTCCTCTACATCTCCCAGCCGTTTTATGCTGCTTTTATAAAATATTTTTGAACGATTTTGGGCGAGCGTGGCTCTGTCCTCTGGATATACAAAACACGGTAGCCAGCCAATCATCTCAAATAGTATTTTATAAAACAGATAAGACTATTAATTTGCATATTCATCGCAAAAGTATACATTTCACGGTACCTTAAAATCCCCTGATCCAACAGTTCTATTTCAAGTCTTTCCATTTTTTTCTACACTGCTAAAGGATTTTGTTTTTAAATCAGTCAATATTATCCACCTTATCTTCTTTAAGCGTAAAGTTTTCCTTTTTTTTTTTGTAGCCATAAGGAAATGTTTGATCAAACTTAAGGATTGCTGTTTATTAATACCCATTAAGACAGATCAGGAGAACAAAGAGGAAGTCCTATGAATTATTTGTATTGTTTCATGGGTTAAGTCTTTGCACGAAATGACACGACTGTTTTGCATGCAATTTGAAAATCTTGTAAACCAAGCTGAAATATTATGAGATTCTATGTTGAAGAGATGAGTTAAAAATTCAGTAGTTTACAATGGAAAAACCGGTTCTTCGACGCTCGTATTTTTAGGCTCAATTTGTGCATGCGCAGTATAAAATAGCGTCTCCAAGTACGTGATTGACATCAGTCAAGATCAATCAAGATTGTAGAATAATAAATCAAGAGCTAACTGTTTGATCAAATATTTGATTCATTAAACGCAAATTGACTTTTTTTTTAGTTCGCGAGTTGTATTTGTCTTGTGCTGTATAATTTAAGTAAAACTCTGGAAACGAAAAAAAAGGAAGAGTTAAAAAAAGATTATTCCAGATTGCACAATATTCAATCAAGTGCTCAGTATTTAATCAGTCGTGAGCCGGGTTCATTAAATACAAATCGTACTTTATTTTTAGCAAGCAAAGTTAATTTTTAGTGCTATCTAATTGAGACGAAATGTAGAAAACGACTAGTTATAGAAACGAGAGAGGAAAAAAAAAAAACTGAATGGAGCTAGATTCAAAGACGTGCCAAGGGGATTGAAACAAACTGACAACATACTAATAACGAGGGGACGAAATGCATAAAATATTGTTTAGCACGGCAACAACAAGTCAAAAAAGAAATGGAAAAGATTTTATGATTTTAAAGCGAACTGAGTAAGGATCTTTGACTCAAGAGCTGGCGTCATCAAAATGACGGGGGGACAATGAAAATGCGCAAAATATTTTTTCAGCGTGACAAAGAAAAAAAAAACTCCAAATAAAGATTTATATGACTATCCCGATACTAGATCAAAGCGCCGTGTGTATTTATTTAAAGTATTTATCTACGATAGGATACGCTCGTCAACCATTATGTTCGCCTCGCCGGGTTATCAGTTTGGGTTGAAAAAAAACGTGCAATCTAAAACAGATATCATAAATCAGAAGGAACGAAGATGTTCATTATCCATTGATCGAGTCATTGTTTAATCAATGAAATATTAAGTGGAATTTTATAGCATAGCCTCACTGATAATGGACCGCAGTGATATGCTGGTGAGGTCAGCGGTGATTTACGATAGCCGCCATTTTGTACATAGAGTTTAACGGAGACCATATTTATGCTCTTTTGAGTTTAAGTATTTCATTTATGGCCAAAATAAAACGTCAGTTAACAAGAGTAAAATAAATTAAATTAGTGAAAAGCAATCAGAAAACTATCCATGCAAGAAGTAGATAATCCAGTCAGAACACAATACTTTTTGTATTTGGTGAGAACCTTTGCAAACGGTAAAGTAAAAAAGAAGGACTAGGAAACAATGAATACGTGGTCGTCTTCCGTTTGCGGAAAGGAAAAAAACCAGGACGTTCGAGCATCGCCCATCAAACCGTTAGCAACGGAATAACCCTTATGAATAGCTTACTCTATTTTTATTCTAAAGACTATTCAGGGCCTGGTTGTTCAAAGCTGGATTAGCACTAATCCAGGATTAACTCTATAGGTTTTATTAAGAGTTAACCCAGGATTAGCACTAATCGGGCTTTGAACAACTGGGCCCAGGTCTTATGATTGATATTCTGCCTGTTAAACTTTCTAGAACGTGATTAAATAAACTATTATCATCATCAATAATAAATAAGGTATTATTAAACTACAACTCGGTGAGACTTATTCTTCGCTCGTTTCCCTTTTTCTTCTTTTTCGTTCCCTTTTTTTCTCATTTTTGTTTTGTTTTTTGAGTTTCTCTTTCGTCTCTGTCAGAGCATTACCAAACGTAAATGCTATCCGCAAATTTCAATATGTCATTATAAATGTTCGCTATATAGGGTTATTTATGTTACATTGGTCATTAACTCGACCTAGAAGGACACGAAATGTATTCTTAAGCTCATAAACTACATGCCTAATCAAATGAAAAATGATTGAACCCTTGTTAGTAGGATTTCAGCTTAAGTACTTAGAGTACTTGGTTTTTTACTAAAGCACAGTAAACTTGACGCTTTTTCTTTCACTCTCTCATTCATTCATTCATTCAGCTGTTCTATTTTGTTTTGAGAATCGTTTTGCCCTGTAATTTTCTAGCTCTGATTTTTTTCTTGTCACAAACGAACGGAAATCAGCCGATTTCACTTCATTGTCAGGCTTCATTTTCCTTGTCTGCTCCAGCTCATTTACATTTTTGTCTGCCCAATAACCCAACTAGTGCTTCATTCTATAAAATGTATTAATTACATTTAATGTCCTAACTAGATATAACGTATTTTCCTTCTAATATGACTAACAATAATTACGTTTCTCATGAAACTACGCAAGGCATATAAGGATATTATGTAAGAGGTCTTTTTTGGGTTGGAACATGAGTGTACAGATATCGGAAGACGCACTTTTTTTTCGCACTGGCAATGTTAAGCAGTTGATGCTGCTATGYTTCGTTGCGAGCTATATTTTAATATTAGATAATATTGTAATATTAAGACCCTGCTTTAGCCAAGTTAAGTAGATTTTACGGTTTTCACTGCCGCCAGTCAAAAATATGACTGATTAAGTTTGATTGACGGCAGCGAAAAACCAAATTTCAGGGTGCAGCTCGCAGACACAGGGTTCGCATATTTATGTAAATTGCAGTAATATATGTGTATTAAAATAAAGGGCGGTAAAAAGAATTAAAAGGAACAAATGAACAAGCGAATATCAAATCGAAATGGACATTAAACAGAAAAATTTAAAGATAAAAATGTATAAATGAATAAAATTGGATATTCGAATAGAGTGACTTGCATACTTTTTGTACAACGTCGGCATACTTTTTGTACGTCCGTCCGTCCGTCCATTCATCCATCTTTTCATCAAACCATCCATCCATCCAACTTTTCCCCACAATCCAAACATTTTTGTGCTTATTTTTCTACCATCAAAAAATCATTTCTACTTGTCTCATTCATACTATTCCTTCATTCATCTCTTCTTTATACGTTTCCAGCTTTTGAGGCTGAACGTTAACTCTCAAGTTAATATTAGTTTAAATTTTTCTCCAATTTCAACATTATTTGCTTATTATCTTATCATTTTTAAGAGAAAAATATCTTTTCACTTTCCCATTAATTCCAATTTTACATGCTGAAAATGAACACTTAAATTAAGAGCCAGCGATGCTAAGAATAGATCGGCGAAAAATATTCTTTCTGGACAAACAGACGATTTCAAGATCACTCTCTTTAACCAAATTTACATCAAAAATATCCCAGATGTTTCCAATAGTTTCGATGAAAAGTCAATTTACTTAAAATAAGAGTGCAGCTGGGTAAAGCCTAAAACACAAAGTGAAGATTTCTTCAAAGAAAACCCATCCGACTCTTTTAGCTATTCAAGCTTATTCATCAGCCAAATAAAACTTACTGTTGAAGTGCAAATATTGATTTGGAGGCTAGTACACTGCTTCTTTTCATTAGCTATCTTTAGCCGTTTGAATTAACTACAGCAGTACTGCTGCGATAAAATCACCTTCTTCTTTCAAAATAAGTTTATTGATGGAAAAAGACAATACAATCTTGCTATCTACGCTCGTACCGAGCTCTAACTTTTAAGATAAACTGATATTTTTAAATATAAAACAGTTAAAAAAACTTGACTCGTTTGGCCTTTTCTTGCGAAGTTAATCACAATGTAGTACCTTTTCAATCGTGTTTGCAGCTTTTTTGAAAATAATACAAATATATATATATATTTGAAAATCCCCTTACGACAAGCGAAGTGCAAAGTGAAAGCAACAAGGAGATGAAAAGTACTATAGGGCGAATTAAAAAAATTAAATAAAT